GGGGCAGAGACAGAGGGAGACACAGAATCTGAAACAGGCTCCCGGCTCTGAGCTGCCAGCACAGAACCTGATGCGGGGCTCGAACCCACGAACCGTGAGATCATGACCTGAGCCAAAGTTGGACGCTTAACCTACTGAGCCACCCAGGCACCCCTCTACCTCACTTCTTATAACATGCCCACATCATATCAGAACTTTTGTTCTAAAAATTCAGAGATGAGGGGCGACTGGGTGGCTCAGTTAGTTAGAATCTGCCTCTTGGTCTCAGCTCAAATCATGATCTCATGTTTTGTGAGTTCCAGCCCCATGTCTCTATGTTGGGCTCTGCTTTACAGAGTGGAGCCTACTTGGGATTCTCTCTCTCAAAATAAATATACTTTAAAAAAATAAATAAAAATTTGGAGATGAATCTCATATATAACTAGGCAGAAAGTGAAAACACATATGAAAAAGTAACAACTTCATATCATCCACGATAAAACTATAAAATTATGCATTTATGAATGGCTAAAATAACAAAAATTGATGACAGGCTGCATGTTTCAAGTTCTAAATGTTCTACCTCCCCTAGCATTAATTTCTGTAGAAATTCTAGGATACAAATAGATACATTAAATTATTTAATCATGGAGGAATGGAACACATAAAGAGGAAATTTTTAACCTCAGTTAATACAAAGAAAAATGAACTTTGGAAGTGAAATAAATTTTAGGGAGTTGCTTTGTTAGGAAATTGTTGAGTCTCAGTTTTGTATGATTAGGATTAAACCCTCTATAACTTTGGAAAGCATAAATCAGAAAACGTGAAAACTTTCTCCATTGTTCCTGAGGTTTCTGCACCAAAACCCAATATGGCCACCAATACCCTGACACACTTATGACACAAAGCAAAACAGAATTTAGTAATGACTTAGCATAAAGATCGTCAGATACAGAGATTTCCTCAGTGGCCCTCAAAACAATGGAGAAGCTCTCAGATTATGGAGGCCCCCGCACTCCCAGGGGAGCCTCCTGGCCCCTCACTGTGGATGTGATGGGTCATCACTGCAGGTGAAGGAGAATCCTTAAAGAATAGGAGAGGTTGATAATATCACACAGCATAGGGACACCTGCATGGCTCAGTTGGTTAAGCATCCGACTTCAGCTCAGGTCATGATCTCACAGTTCGTGAGTTTGAGCCCCGTGTCCGGCTCTGTGCTGACAGCTCAGAGCCTAGAGACTGGTTCAGATTCTGTGTCTCCCTCTCTCTCTGACACTCAAAATTAAAACATTAAAGAACAATTTTTTTAAAGAAATTGGCAGAGTAACCTTCCTCTAGGAGCTAGCTGCCTCGATAATGACACTTTGCTGGGGTCAAAAAAGAATATTAGTTTAAGATTATCTCAACCTCAAGAATCCTGTAAATCTACTTACTTTATCTCAACTGCCCCAAGATATATCCTGGCAATTCTGCTCCAAGCTTATGACTCCTGATATACATCTGAAGGGGCTCATGACTGAGGTTTTACTAAACAGTAATAAATGGTGTTTCCTTAGCAACAGGTAGCCCCTCAAAGTCCTGAAAACTTGCTTCCAAAATTCTTTAGAGACTTTATCCTTCATCCCCTCTCAACCTGAAGGTGTATAATGAGTTACCATCACAACCCCAGGGCAGCTATTCTGCCCACGGGTCTAATCCCTGTGCTTTAATAAAATCACCTTTTTTGATCAAAGATGTCTTCAAGAATTCTTTCTTGGCCATCAGCTCTGGACCACCATCACCCCAAAACTTTATCACCACCACAACATCAATGAGTCAAAATTGGTATTTAAGACATGGGAAATACCATTTTATGCCACTCAAAGTTTAGAATTGCCATTAATCTACAGAAATGATGACATTATCCTAAGAAAGGGGAAGCTAAAGCTGAAAGGAAACAACAGGAAGATTTTTCTCTATATGTACACATCCCTACTTTTTTTGCTTACTGCAGGAACCTGAATTCCACTCACATAAAAAGGAATCTTCCAAGGAATTGTCTTCAAAGAAAGGAACAAAACCCCTGAGTGCATTTTGGGAAATCTGGAAGGAGTTATCCTCACCCAAGAAGAGGAGGTGTCCATAGTTCTTTAACATCACATCCCTGTATAGTTCCTGCTGACTCTGGTTCAGGCACCTCCACTCCTCCTGGAAGAATTCTGTGGTCTCATCCCTGAATGTCAGTGGTCTCTGCAATAAATAACACAGTTACCAAGTGGACATAGGCCGAGGTCATAATGGTACCTAAGATGCAAGAGGGAGTTAATGTCACCAGCTGGACCCCAAGACCTGACCTTCACTGCTTACCTGCTTGTATTCACTGACCTTAGTCCCTCATTTTACTTCTTTCCACCTTATCTTTTACCTAAGGCAAAACACCCATGGGAATAGTATCCTGTGGTAAAAACAGAAAGTATCCAACAAAAGGTAATGACTGCCCCAAGGAAGAGTCTGAGCCTGCCAAATCTGAGTTTAACCTCTGACTCATACCTCTGCAGATGACCCAAGGAGCAACCCATGGAGTGACCAAGTTATTTTTTTACCTTATAATACTAAAACTGCCACCTCATTTGCTGAACATACAAAGTTATGTATGGAACTGTTCTCTTAAGGTGCATGTGTGACCTTAAGCCCAGATAACAGGCCTCAGAGCACCTGGGTGGCTCAGTCAGTTCAGCATCTGACTCTTGATTTCAGCACTGGTCATGATCTCAAGGGTTCCCAGGATTGAGTTCTCTATGGGGCTCTCCCCTGACAGAATAGAGTCCGATTGAGATTCTCCCTCTTCCTTTCTCTGCCCCTCCTCTGCTCATGTGTATGCTTGCTCTACCAAAATAAATAAAACTCTAAAACAAAAAAAGATGGCACTTTCTAAATGTCCACCCTAACCCTAAATAAAAGGAAACCATTTCCCCTGCCTCTCTGAGTCTCTGCTTTGAAAGTTATTCTCTTGAATCTCCTTATTGGCTGCAAATCAAATTTCCTCACCTAGGGTAGTTTCTAGTTATGACTCTATTATATTTCATGGTTTTAAGGCCCTCAAACATGTCATTGTTTTCATTTTCTGAAAATATAAGGAAGTAAATGGGTATTCCTGTGACCTGATGTGGGATGAATTAAAAACATGCCTGATGGAGGTCTAATTTAGAATCTCCACTCCCACAAGTCAGTATCCTTACAACAGAAAGGTGAGCCATTCCTTGTCCAGTGGAAAGTGATGTGATGTGGTAGACTGGGAGGGCCCAAAAAGTATTCTTGAGATATTTTTGGTGCAAAAAGCTGTTTTTACCAAAGCATGTGGATTCCTTGGTAGAAAGATCTACACTGTCATTTTGAGAAACCAATGATTATATGCTTTTTATTTGGGGAGTAAAGATGAAGTTTCTAAAGGGATTTTCACATGTTAAAGAAAACTAATAGTATCTTGCAAGTCTGGCTATTGTCAAGGTAAAGGAACCCTTTACCTCTAACAAAACATTAAATTAAGGCACTTGGGAATTCTGGGGCACCTGGGTGGCTCAGTCGGTTAAGCGTCCGACTTCGGCTCAGGTCATGATCTCCCGGTTAGTGGGTTCAAGCCCCACATCGGGCTCTGTGCTGACAGCTAGCTCAGAGCCTGGAGTCTGCTTCAGATTCTGTATATCTCCATCTCTTTCTGACCCTCCCCTGCTCACGCTGTCTCTCTCTCTCTCAGACATAAAAAAAAAAAATTTAAAAAATTAAAAAAAAAACAAAGCATGAAAATGAGTATTTGTATATTTAAAAAAAAAAAAGGCACTTGGGAATTCCTAGAGGAGAGTCATTCTCTGCCAGTCTGAAGTATTTATCAAGATGCTACAAACCCAGGGAAAGTTAATTTTATCTACATTTCTTTTGCTTTTGTTTTCTGCACCAAAAACTACAAGCAAGACAAACTCAAAAGTTTCCAGTTTCTGCACATCATTTCGTTAATTCCCCTAAAAGTCTTACAAATGATGAGGAGCAAAATGTGAACTTTACACCAGGGGAGAAATGTGGCAAAGGCACCAAGCCAAATACTAGAAGTTAACATCCTGCTATAAGGAAACAAATTTATATCAGTACCTAAGGCACACAAAAACATCTGTTATTACTGGTATGTTCTTGTGGCCCCAAAAGAAAAAAATCAGAATGTAACTCCAATTATGAGGATAGAGTAGATTTATAGAAAGTTACATCACATATACTTTCCATGTCCTGTAATATCTATGATATTTTAAATAGTGGATCTTTTTCAGTTTCAAAAGAGCAAGACTCGCGGCACCTGGGTGGCTCAGTCAGTTAAGCATCTGACTTCCGCTCAGGCCGTGATCTCATGTCTTGTGCGTTTGAGCCCCGAGTCGGGCTCTGTGCTGACAGCCAGCTCAGAGCCTGGAGCCTGCTTCAGATTCTGTGTCTCCCTCTCTTTCTGACCCTCCCCTGCTCATACTGTCTCTCTCTCTCAGAAATAAATAAAACATTGAAAATTAAAAAAAAAAAGAGCAGGAGTCCCCTATATTTTGAGAGCTTTCCTACTTATTCTAGACCTCATATCCATTGTGTCTATTTGTGCAATTTCTTAAGTGTATTTATTTTGTTTTGTTTTTGACTTTTTTTTTTTTTCTGAGAGAGACAGCGTGAGCAGGGGAGGGTCAGAGAGAGAAGGAGACGCAGAATCTGAAACAGACTCCAGGCTCTGAGCTGTCAGCACTGAGCCTCACATGGGGCTTGAACTTGAGCCAAAGTTGGAAGCTTAACCAACTGAGCCACCCTGGTGCCCCATGAGCTCATAGTTTCTGAAAAGCTCCAGATTCAAAAAACTCAAAAGGAAATTGGTCCTTTTTTGCATTTCAAAGTTCTGCCTGTGAGTAGTTTACAGGTGAAGATGGCCTGCTGGTGGCTTTGATGGCATTTTCTCCTGATGCAGCTGTGATTTCTCCACAAATATCTTCTGAGAAAGAAATCTAGAGGTGGAGGTGAAAGAAGAAAAGGCCAGTTCTCAGGTAAGCCTGGTGTAACAGGTCAAAGGTCTTTTCATCTCTTTCTCTAAAATTCTATGCATTTTGAAATTGCAAATGTGGGTTCCTCTACTTCTGATGTTTCTGATTCATGTTTTCACCTAATTTTTAAAAAACCATTTCAGAAACGATACTCAAGGTCAGGGCTTTATCACACTCCTCCCCTATAACCAACCTAGCTTCCAACCAACCACCTACACTCTCCAACCTGGCTTCCAATACAGTGTCAACAACTCGCATTCTGAATTAATTTCCTGCAAGTATGAAAAATTTCCCTTTGTAACAGATCCACAGGGGAATTTCTTATGTCCAAGATTCCTATTGCTGATGGGGTCTGGTCTTGGGATTTAGGTCAAGGAAAACAATTCTTATTTTGTTACAGCAAATACTCAGCCCCCAGGAAGAGACCAGTGACAAGTACTCAGGGAATCAGAAAAGGCTGTTTACTTTGCATCTGTAATGGCCCAGTGGAGTCACCTCTAAAGGCTGAGCATCTGGTTCAGGTTTTACTGATCTTTTATATAAATGCACTTCCAAGTTGGGTGGGATAGTATAATCAAGCTTCTGGTTCCTGGCTGCTGGCTGATGCAAGAAGCAGACAAGATTATAGAAGCCAAAAGCATGCAAGGGGAGTATCCAGCCTTGGACATCTGGCTGGCCCTTTTTATTTGTGTTTCCCAGCTTTCCTCCTCAATTTAGTTTCCATGGGGATGCTCTAGCAGCTCTGTGTAGACAAGATTATGAAAATGCACAAATAAGGGCACCTGGGTGGATCAGTCAGGGAAGCATCTGGCTCTAAGTTCCAGATCAGGTCTTGCCCTCCTAGTTTTGTGAGTTTGAGGCCCAGGTCAAGTTTCATGCTGGGTCATGTATGTGCTGAAACCTGCCTGGGATTCTCTTTGTCCCTCTCTCTCTGCCCTTCCTACACTCGTGCTGTCACTGTCTCTCTCAAAATAAATACAGTTGGGGCACCTTGGTGGCTCAGTCTGTTAAGCATCCAACTTCGGCTCAGGTCATGATCTCACGGTTCATGGGTTCAAGCCCTGTGTCAGGCTCTGTGCTGACAGCCAGCTGTATCTCCCTCTCTCTTTGCCCTTCCCCTGCTAGCTAGCTTGCTCTCATTCTCACTCTCTCCCTCTTTCTCAAAAACTAAACATTAAAAAAAACACAAAAACCCTATGAGTTCCTAATAGAGGCCAATGTCTGAGTTTCCCTTCTCTTTCAGGGGGCTCCCCTCCCACAGAGGCTCACAAATTCAACTAATGCAGGAAGAGCAAGCTGTGGGGACCTCATCATCTCAGACTCATGTAGATGAGACACTGTTGCCTCCCCGTGAGCCAAAGCCTGCACTTCCCTCTCATAAATTAATAGGAAGCCTTCCTCCTGAACCCTGGCCTCACTTAGAATCACCTGGAATACTTAATTAAAACAACATTGTTGTTTCCACCCACACTAATTGACGGGCTCTGGGGGGAGGGCACAGGTGATGATGGTTTTTGACACGCCACACGTGAGCCTATTGGGAAGCATTTGGAGAAGTGATCAGAAAGAAAACTAACCATGGCTATGGTTGTTGTCCATATTAAAATCCATGCCTTCTCCACTGATCAGAGTTTCTGGAGATTTAAACATTCCCCCTCTTTCTGCTACACAGAAGGAGACACCCTTACAAATAGAACTTTCCCTGATACATGCAAATGTCTCTTTCAAAAGCAAACATACTCGTTATCCAAGCTATTCCTTTGTCTGTTTCTTTAAAATAACCCTTATGCCAAAGAGAGATATTTTGGGATGGCAAAATAACCCTGTTTAGTAGGAAAGTTAATTTTCATAAGTCACCACCAAATAGTTTTCCAAAATGAATGTACTTTTTAATCTTCTATCAGCAATAGAATTCTAATTCCTTATTATTTTCACTGAAATTTGCTGTTATCCTATTTTCTTCATTTTAGCCATTCTAGAAAATACTGAGTGGTTTCTCATAGAAAAATATTAAGTGCACTTACTAGTGTTGTTTTGTTGTCTGAAACTGATATACATAATAAAACTATTATATATAAACTATAATTGTTATATTCCTTTTATTCCTTTTCACTTATAATTAATAAAGTCTTCCTCCCCAAAACTGAATGTGTGACTAAAATAAGAAATTTCTACTTTGTGTTTTATTCCTCAATGGTGAAATAACTTAAAACACCTATTATTTTCCCAGAATTACTACATAAGGTAATGGCATGAGGGAGATAGAACAGTAAGAATTTAAAATTCACAATCTACAGTAAAGTCTTAATTGTTACCTCATTTCATAACAATCGAATCATTTAAGGGGCTCCTGGGTGGCTCAGTCAGTTGGGCATCTGACTTTGACTCAGGTCACCATGGTTCTTGAGTTCGAGGCTGCTTTGGATTCTGTGTCTCCCTCTCTCTCTGCGCTTCCCTCACTTGTACTCTGTCACTCTCTGTCTCTCAAAAATGAATAAATGTTAATTATAAAAAAAAAATTGAATCATTTTATAATTTTGTCTTATATAATATGAAGTTCCTGTGACTTTTTCATATATGCTTTCACTTTGAGTAGTTATGTATGAGATTCCTTTATGACTTATGAGATCAAATGTTCTGATATGACACAGGCATGTGTTTTATAAGAAGTGAGGTAGATAATTAGTAAACTTCTTATACTTAGAGAAAGGGTTTCAAATGTAAGTGTAATTTTACTTCAGGAAAATGAATCAGTTTTTCTACTTTCCTCAGAATGTATCTGAATTAAATCCAACAGATTTTTTTATAGTGATTGTTGGCATACAAGATGTGTTTGTCTATTAGAAATGAAAGTTTTTGGGTGCCTGGGTGTCTTTCAGAGTGCTGGACTCATTTTAAGTCAGGTTATGATTTCATGGTTTATGCGTTTGAGCCCCGAGTCCTGCTCTTCACTGACAGCACGGAACCTGCTTGGGTTCTCTCCCTCTTTCTCTGTCTCTCCTTTACTCTCACTCACTCTCTACCTCTTCTAAAATACACTTAAAAAAAAAACTTAACAAGAAAGGTTTTTGGGGCGCCTGGGTGGCTTAGTCGGTTAAGCGTCCGACTTTCGCTTAGGTCATGATCTCGCGGTTCGTGGGTTCGAGCCCCGTGTCGGGCTCTGTGCTGACTGCCAGCTCAGAGCCTGGAGCCTGTTTCAGTCTGTGACTCCCTCTCTCTCTGACCCTCCCCTGCTCATGCTCTCTCTCTCTCTCCTAGAAATAAATGAAAATATTAAAAAAAAAAATAAAAATGTTAACGTTTAAAACAAAACAAAAAAAGGTTTTTATTTGCTTGATTCTAAAAAATGGATTATGCCCTTAAATTCTGGGCAATAGGAGGGATCTATTAACATAATACATTTTGTAATGTCTTTCAAGTGCTTCCTTCATTAAAATTTTCATTAGAGCTTTCTATGTCTAATTTTATGAATTATACTTTATAATTTTACTGTCCATGAAGACATGCCAATAATTCTCCTTTTTTTCATGGGTACATAGTCACAGTTTAAAATTATAGCTATGTAGGGGTGGCTAGGTGGCTCAGTTGATTAAGGGTCCAACTCTTGATTTTAGCCTGGACATGGTCTCACCTTTTGTGAGTTCAAGGTATGTGCCAGCAGCATGTATAATGGTTTGTTATACCTTTAAGATATTTTAAGTAATCTCTAAGGAAACCATAGTGAAAATACAAACAAACAATATATTCACTAATAAGTAGGTGATGAAATTAATTATATTATTATGACAATTCACATAGACATGCTAAAACATTCACTGACCACTAACCAAGTAAAGAAATACACAAGGTGAGTCACAGAGTATGCTTGGGTAATTTTTCTACAATTACATAGATGATTTTATTGGCACAGGGCATAAAGCTGATTCATATTTGAGTTATACTTACATTGTCCAAAAATATAATGAGTTGAAAATTGTTACCATAAAAACAAAATCATGCTGTGGAAAGTTCAATACAAAAGGAAGTATGCTATTATGAAATTGTAAAACCAGGGGTGCCTGGGTGGCTCAGTCGGTTAAGCGTCCGACTTTGGCTAAGGTCATGATTGGCTAAGATCATGATCTCACAGTTCGAGGGTTCGAGCCCCGTGTCGGGCTCTATGCTGACAGCTAGCTCAGAGCCTGGAGCCTGCTTCAGATTCTGTATCTCCCTGTCTCTCTGACCCTCCCCTGCTCATGCTATATATCTCTCTCTCAGAAATAAATAAAACATTAAAAAAAAAAACAGGACAAAATATAACCCCAAAATACTATATTAAAAAAAAAAAGTGATAAATTACTTAAAGGAAACCTACTATAATTTTAAAGTTTATTTATTTTGAGAGGCAGAGAGCACAGGCATGGAAGGGAGAGAGAGAGAATCCCAAGCAGGCTCTGCAGGGTCAGCACAGAGCCTGCAGCAGGACTCCAACTCATGAATAGTGAGATCATGACCTGAACCGAAATAGAGTCAGACACTTAACTCACTGAGCAGCCTAGGTGCTCATATGTAGCTATTATTTCAATTAAAAAATTTTCTTTAATTTTTGAGAAGAGAGGTAAAGCACAAATGGAAGACAGTACAGAGAGAAGGAGACACAGAATCCAAAGCAGTCTCCAGCCTCTTAGCTGTCAGCACAGAGACTGACACAGGGCTCAAACTCAATGAACCATGAGATCATGACCTGGGCCAAAGTTGGACACTTAGCTGACTGAGCCACCCAGAAGTCCCTGTTGTTGTAAGTTTAAACTGTGCTTGTGTATCCATGAAAAAAGGAACATTTTGAATTATTGGCATGTCTGCATGGACAGTAAAATTGTAAAGAATATCCATAAAATCAACCATGGGAAGCTCTGATGAAAACTTTTATGAATGAAGCACTTAAAAGACATTAAAAATCTATTTTGTTAATAGATTCCTCATATTACACAGAATTTAAGGGTATAATCCATTCTTTTTTATAATCCATTCTTTAGAATTAAGCAAACAAAAGCTTTCATTCTTTATTTTCTTTCTTTTTTTTTTGGTTTGTTTTGAGACAGAGAGAGATAGAGTGGAGGAGGGGCAGAGAAAGAGGGACAAAATCCCAAGCAGGCTCCATGCTGTCCATGCACACTGGATGTGGGGCTGAAACTCACAAACCATGAGATCATGTCCAGAACTAAAATCAAGAGTCAGATGCTCAAAACTCTGAGCTAAGTTCCCCTAAACCTTTAATTTCTAATAAACCAACACCATCAAAGTTGTAAAATATGCCAATAATCACTTTACAAAAAAGTTTTTAGGATTAAATTCAGGTACATTCTAAGAAAAGAAGAAAAATAGAAAAGCTAATAATTCATTTTTCCAGAAGTTAATGTTCTCTGATTTTAGTTTTGTGTATAAGAAATTTTAATTGTATTCCTAAGACAGTAGAAAGTGGAATGATTTTACTTTTATTCATTATCTTTTACCTGTATCTTCAAATGGCACCCAGAGCTTCCTTCCAAAGATGTACATAGAAACTTCTTTCCAAAGAATGTCAGTGGGTAGACATAAACATAGTACCCTTGAGCCTGTATACTGAATGACAGACTGGAACAATGTTGGGAAGAGAGAAGGGCATCAAAGATATTATGAAGGTCATATCTAAAGGGAGACAACTGCCCATTATAAGATTGTCATGGCCCCAAATGGTGAAAGATATAAAACATTTCAGAAAACCCCCTAACTCTGCTACTTCTGCGAAGTGGTGTGTTTCTCTAAGCAAATCAAATGGTCAAATGTACATATGTGCAAAACAAAAACTTGGAAAATCTGGAAAGTGACCTGCTCCATGCTGAAAATACTTATTTGTATGATTTTGACAACAGGATTACATTGACCTTTCAGTCAACTATTTCTGAAAATCAGAGATTAAAAAAATGAAGAAAAAAGTGGTAAGCTGTATCCCTTTGAGGGGTCCTTCACTGAGCAGTCGAACTCCAAGAGAACAGCAGTATTTTCATAAAAACAGAATTGCTCAATGAAGTGAATCTGAGAAATATTTAACCAGGCCTCAAATATTAATAAACGTTTGAGGATTCCTTTGCCAGAAAACCATTAGGACTGTAATAAATGAAGGAAATTCTTTTATCAAAGCTCCAACCTTATCATACAGAAGCGAAAAATATTTGTCTTTAGTAGAATTTGTCTTAAATAAAACGTTAAAAAAAAGATTTTAGAATTTGTCTTTAGTCAAATTACTGTAGGAAACCTGAGGGGGAGTAGGTGGTGTCTGTTACATTCTTTAGAGGAACCTAGGTGGGTATTGCTGAGATCAGACACTCCCAGCATTGTTCCAAAATGTGTTTTTCCCCACCCAGGGACCTCAGGTCCTAATCTTTCCCTTTCTGCCTACTGAATCTTATCTTTTTCTATTATAATTCTAAGTGAGGCCCAGGGTTAAGCAGAAAGGCTTCCCATTAATTTATGAGAGTTGAGTGCAGGCTTTTTTCAAGGAGAGGTAACAGGTCTCCAGTACAGGAGTTGGGGAGGGTCAAGTCCGGTAGCACACGTTTTCTACAAAACGCCCAAGGAGAATTTGTGGCTTCTGTGAGAGGGGAGGCCCCCTGAAAGCAGAGAAGGGAAACTCAGGGATTGGTTCCCAAGTAGGAGCTCACAGTTTGTGAATAGCTCCTGACACAAAGGACTAGGAAGTTGGGCCTTCTCTGCATTTCAAATTCCTGCCTGCAGGCAAGCAGCTTACTGGGGAAGAGGCTGTGTTGGTGGCTTCACAGACATTTTCTCCTACTTCAGCTGGGGTTTTCCACAAAGATCTTCTGAGAAGCAAATCTAGACCAGAAGGTGAAAGAAGAAATGGCTAGTTCGCAGGTAAGCCTTGTGGGCCTGGCCGGAGGCCCTGTCATTTTTTTCTCAGGAAATTCCATGCTTGTAGGAATCTCAGGGCACCTGGGTGACTCAGCCATTTGAGCATCAGACTCTAGGTTCAGGCCATGATCCCAGGGACCTGTGCTCCAGCCCTGCATCAGGGCTTCTTCTGAGCCTGGAGCCTACTTAAAATTTTCTCTTTCTCCCTCCGTCCTTGTCCCCCATTTGCACGCACACACACATTCTCTCTCTAAACCAATTTTTTAAAAAATGCCAATGATTTTTTTTTCTTTTTCAGTTCTGATGCTTCTGCTTTATGTTTCCACATAATATTTAACTTTTTCAGAAATAATTTTCAAGGCTAGGTGTTTAGGACACTCCTCCCCTGTATCCCAGAGATTCCTCTTCCTTCTCTCCAACCTGCCTTCCAGTAGGGCAACAACAATTGTCCCTGTGAATTAAATTTTTACAAGTATTGGAAATATTCCCTTTGTGACAGATCCAGTGGGCAGAGCATTGAGTCAAAGTTCCTGTTACTGAGGAGTCTGGTCCTCGACTTGCACTCTCGGAAAACAGTTCCCATTTATGTCTGATTTGGATGTTTTCTCTGGGTAGAATAGGATTGTGAAAATGCGTAAATACATAAGATGGATATGAGGCACAGAATTACCTGGAATGTTCCTGCTCATTAGGATATGGAAAAGCTATTTGAAAATATTGTAGATATTACAAGACATGGAAACTTTATGTGACTGAAGGCTGAATAAATCCACTGCATCCTCAAAGTTGCTTCTATTCTGACTTGCTGTTTGGGGGTCACAAGAACACACCGGTGGTCCTGTGTCCTGGGGTGTGCCTCAGGCACTGAGATCGCTTTGTTTCCTTACAGCTGACGTTACCTTCTTTTACTTGGCTTTGTGCCCTTGACAGATTTCTCCCCTGTAATGTTCATATTTTCCTTCTTATCAGTTGTAATGATTTTAAGCAGATTCCCTGAGCGATTTCCAGACAGCATCACCTTTAAACTGGAAACTTCTTTCTCCTAATTTCTCTTTCCTTGTATGTATATATATGTGTATATATATTTTTTCTTGTAGTTTTTTCTTAGGTTTGCTTATTTATTTTGAGAGAGAGAGAGCTAGAGCAGAAGAGTTGCAGAGTAAGCACACAAATCCCAAGGAAGCCCCACAGGGTCAGCACTGAGGGGGACATGGGGCTTGAACTCACAAATCAAGAGATCTTGACCTGAGCCGAATTCAAAAGTCTGAAGCTTAACTGATAGTGCCACCCAGGCACCCCTTCCTTGGAGTTTCTGAGGAAAATAAAAGCAAGAGAAATAGGTAAAATTAAATTTTCTTACAACTTGCAACCCATTGAAAAATACTTGAGACTGGCAGAGGAAGGTATTCGTCAAGGAATTCACAGCTGCTTTAATGTTAGTGCTTTTCTAGAGGCAAAAAGCAAGCTTAGCTTTACAATAGTCAGACTTCCAGTATCTTATGAGTCTTCTTTAACATATGAAAATCGCTGTAGAAACTTCTTTTATTTCTACTCCCCCTCCCCACCCGCACTTAAAGTCATGACACAAACACACTCTATTTACTTCAATGTAGTTTCAGAAAAAAAAAAAGAAGAATCACATAATTAACAGGTTTGCATGTCTTAAAATCCCAAAATAAAACTGTATAAAAGATGAATGAAACAAAAGCTTTTAATGAGGGACACCTGCCTGGCTCAGTAGGTTAAGCATCTGACTTAAGGTCAGGTCTTGATCTCACTGTTCCTGAGCAGGAGCCCCAAATCAAGTGAACAGGAGCCATCTCTCTCTCTCTCTTCCTCCTTCTTTCTCTCTCCCCTTCCTCCATCTCTCTCTCTCTCTCCCTTCCTCTGTCTCTTTCTCTCTCTCCCTTCCTCTGTCTTTTTCTCTCCCTCCCTCCTCTGTCTTTTTCTCTCCCTCCCTCCTCTCCCCCCCATATTCTCTCTCTCCTTCTCTCTCTGCACCCTTGTTCACCTGCGCCCTCTCAATAAAAAATAAAGAAAAAATTTAAAAAATAATTTTACAAAAGCTTTCAAAGAAACACTATGTTATGGGATCATGAAGTACCATGGTCAGGACCATTCTTGTATGGTGCCAAATAGTTTATCGAAGTAGCACAGGGCCAGGACCCGTGGGCAGAAAGAACTGTACTTTGGCTGCATGGAGCTTCTACGTTCAAGGGGGAGGGTAGGTGCATGGAGTATTCAAACACAAATGTTTCTTTCAGTTTCTACTTGTAAGACGACTCCTGCAAGATTTCTCTGGAGCTCATCATTCAGTTCCACATTAAGCAGTGGTGAGATGTGCTGGAAGTCACGAGACCTTATAAAAATGCAGCAACCAGAGTACCTGGGTGGCCCAGTCACAACATGGAGCCTGGTTGGGGTTCTCTCCCTCTTTCTGCCTCTCCCCCTATCACACCATGCTTACCCATGCTCGCTCTCTCTCTCAATATAAACTTCTAAAAAAAAAAAAAAAAAAAAGGAATGTCAGAACCAGCCTTTATTTGATACTTATCAAAATTATACAACTCTGTGTCAGTCTTCTGTGCTAAAGGTGAAAATTTTTCTGATCGTATCCCTCATCATTCTAGGTCAGAAATAACATTTTTTAAAAAATTTTTTTTAATGTTTTATTTATTTCTAGGAGAGAGAGAGAGACAGCGTGAGCAGGGGAGGGTCAGAGAGAGAGGGAGTCACAGACCGAAACAGGCTCCAGGCCCTGAGCTGGCAGTCAGCACAGAGCCCGACACGGGGCTCAAACCCACAAACCGCGAGATCATGACCTAAGCGAAAGTCGGACGCTTAACCAACTAAGCCACCGAGGCGCCCCTATACAACTTCTTTTAATATTTATGGATATAAGCATGGACTCTATAAAGGTAAATTAATTTTGTATGCATACCTACTTCTTTCCATAGTTTTATTCAGGTATGACACCTGTTAAAAACATTGCTTTAGGGTCCCCACTATATACTGACCTGTATGTCATTTTAGGTTAACTTTAGGTCTGATTCCTGTGTTAAACTTGATCCCTACCAAGTCCTGGATGTTTGACAAAATATTCACTAAAAATAGAAGAATAATTTGTTCTCTTAGATTATTATCCATGAATTTATGAGAAACTGTTAGATGCTCTCTACTAACCAGTAAATGCTTGGAAAAACTTGTTTCCTTTCTTACTTTTCTAATAGAACCTCTAATTGCAGTAAAACCCATCCAGTTCCAAGTCCTCCAAGAGTTCCTGCCTGGTTGCCTCAGTCGGTTAAGTCTGATTTCGGCTCAGGTCATGATCTAATGGTTCGTGGGTTCGAACCCCGAGTCAGGCTCTGTGCTGACAGCTCAGAATTTGGAGCCTGCTTCGGATTCTGTGTCTCCTTCTCTCTCTGACCCTCCCCTGCTCACGCTGTCTCTCTCTCTCAGAAATAAATAAAAAACATTACAAAAAAATAATTTAAAAATGAAATATATATCCCTTGGCCCATAGACTAATGCCTTGTTAGAAATGTAGACACCTACCCCATCCCAGAACTCCTTGAACAGAATCTCCATTTTAACAAGATCTCCTATGTGGTGCTGTGAAATTCTAATTCACATTAGAATATGCTAAATACATTTGTAACTCACCAAAACTTTCCACTTAAGAACCACATGCACTGTATGATGTAAATATAGTATTCAAAAATATATATGACTGTGTTGATGCCTTCATTTTACAAATTCTCTTGAATGAACACAGTATTTATAAAGGTTCTTACCTCAAAGTTAAAGAATATATTAGAACATAATACTGGTTTATAAATAATGTTATCTCATAAGGCAGGAAAATCACCTAAGTCAGAACTAGTTCTCCTAATATAACTGAACTAACAGGAGTTCAGTCCTTAATGAATCACAAACTATACCAGGTGAGGATGTGAGACAAAGGAAAATGATTTACAAGAAATAAGGAGATCACAGGAAGTAACTTCCAAAGCAGATACTCCTGGAGGAAAGGGGAATGGTGTCCTTTCATTTAAGGTTAAGGTGGATATTTAGAAAGGGCAGACCATCATCTTATGTAGAGTGGAGTATAAGGTTACACGTGAGCCTTAAGAGAACAGTTTCATACATACTCTGTATATTTCATAGTAAATGAGATATGTCCTCCTCCTTGAGTGGAGATTTTAGTATTATAATGAGGTAGAAGGGAGCTCCTGGGTGGCTCAGTCCATTGATCATCTGGCTCTTGATTTAGGCTCAGGTCATGATCTAAAAGTCCTGAGAACAGGCCTCAAGCCAGGCGCTACTCTGAGTGCGGAACCTGTTAGAATTCTCTCTCTTTGCCCCATACCCACTTATGCTTTCTCAAAGAAATAAACATTTAAAAAAAGTATATATATATATATATAAAACGAGGTGAAGGTAACTACTCACTCCATGGTTTACTCTGTTATCCATTAGCTTAGGTGTGAGTCACGGGTTAGTCTCAAACTGAGCCAATCCATGCTCTTCCTCAGGGCAGTCATTACTTTTTGCTGGATGATTTCTGTTTCCATCACAGGAGACTATGCCTGTGGGGTGTTTTGCCTGAAGTAAAAGATAAGGTGGGAAGAAGAGGTTAAAATATGTGACTAAGGTTGGTGGGCACAAGCACGTAAGCAGTGAAGATCAGGTCTTGGGGTTCAGCTGGTGACTTTAACTCCCTCTGTTTTTCATACCATTATGAATGCTGCCTATGGCTACTTGGTAACTGTGTTGTTTATTGCAGGGACAGCTGACCTTCAGGGATGTGGCCATAGAATTCTCTCAGGAGGAGTGGGGATGCCTGAACCACAGTCAGCGGGATCTGTACAGGGATGTGATGTTAGACAACTATGGACACCTCCTCTTCTTGGGTGAGGATAACTCCTTCCAGATTTCCCAAATCACACTCAGGGTTTTGTTCCTTCCTTTAAAGACTGTCTCTTGGAATCTTCCACTTTGCATGACTGCAATTCAGATTCCTGGAGTCAGGGAAAGAAGTAGGGGTTTGTAGACGTAGAGAAAAATCTTTCTGGTGTTTCCTTTTCAGCTTTAGCTTCCCCTTCCTTAGGGTAACATCAGCATTTCTTAGATTAATGGCCATTCTAAATGTTGAGTGGCATAAAATGGCATTTCTGACATCTTAAATACCAATTTCTACTCATTATTTTCGTGGTAATACTCAGAAGGGGAGGTCATGATCTGAACATGGAAAATTCCTCCTGTGTGTTCTTAAGGGATTGCTGGACCACAGCATTTGGGAAATTATTTTCTACAATTCTCCTATGTCCTCTCTTCTCTATTAAGCACAATAGTGGATCAGAAGTTAGAATCTCCAGCAACACTCAATTCTTTTCTTTTTTTTCTTTTTAATTTTTTTTAATGTTTTATTTATTTCTAGGAGAGAGAGAGAGAGACAGCGTGAGCAGGGGAGGGTCAGAGAGAGAGGGAGTCACAGACTGAAACAGGCTCCAGGCTCTGAGCTGGCAGTCAGCACAGAACCCGACGCGGGGCTCGAACCCATGAAACGCGAGATCATGACCTGAGCAAAAGTCGGACGCTTAACCGACTAAGCCACCCGGGCGTCCCCACTCATTTTTTTCTTTAATTAAACAGGTCTTGTTGTGTCAAAGCCAGACCTGGTCATCTTTTTGGAACAAAAGGACATCTGGGATGTGAAGAGAAAGGAGAAGGAAGCCTCATACCCAGGTATGGGAATGAAGCAGATGTCAGAGGTGAGGTCCAGTTATGAAGGAGGAAGATAGACCTTAAAATCTGGTTTAAGCAGCTCTCCTTGAATGGAAATTAGTTTGAAAAGGCTAGTTTTAGGGCTCTTCCTCTCACATTGGACATCTGCTTTCCAACACATCACACTTTTTTTTTTAATTAATTTATTTTTATTTTTTATTTTTGAGAGAGAGATAGAGACAGCATGAGCAGGGGAGGATCAGAGAGAGAGGGAGGCACAGAATCTGACACAGGCTCTAGGCTCTGAGCTGTCAGCACAGAGCCCAATGCGGGGCTCGAACCCACGAACTGTGAGATCATGACCTGAGCCAAAGTTGGACACTCAACCGACTGAGCCACCCAGGCGCCGCAACACATCACACTCTTATATTCTCTAAGGATTCTCCTTCAGTTCCACTGAAGGTCCTTCACATCCATAGTGAGGGCCTCCATAATCTGATCAGTTCTGCATTGCTTTCAGGGTCTTGGGGAAATTGCTGTATTTATGAGGAACTCTGTGCTAATCCATTTCTGAGTTCTGTTTTGCTTCACATGTGAAGTGTGTCAGGGTAATGGTGGGCATCTTGGGGTTTGGTGCAAAAATCCCAGAAACACTGGAGGTAGATCTCACAAGTTTTCTAATTTATCATTTCCAGTATTATGGAGGCTTTCATTTTAATCATACAAAATAGAGACCCAGTAAATACATCAGATAACAAAGCAACTTTCAAAAATGAGAAAATCTAGTCCTTTATTTCACTTCAAAAGTTCATTTCTTGGGTTGCCTGGTTGACTCAGTTGGTTAAGTGTCTGAGTTGAGCTCAAGTCATGATCTCACAGTTGGTGAGTTTGAGGCCCGCATCAGGCTGTCTGCTGACAGTACAGAGCTCACTTGAGATCCTCTGCCCCTCTCCCTCATGCTCTGTCTTTCTCAAAAATAATTAAAAGTTTAGGATGCCTGCATGGCCCAATTGGTTAAGAATCCGATTGTTGGGGCACCTGGGTGGCTTAGTCGGTTAAGCCTCCGACTTTCACTTAGGTCATGATCTCGGAGTTCGTGGGTTCGAGCCCCGCGTCGGCTCTGTACTGACTGCCAGCTCAGAGCCTGGAGCCTGTTTCAGAGTCTGTATCTCTCTCTCTCTGACCCTCCCCTGCTCACGCTGTCTCTCTCTCTCCTAGAAATAAATTTAAAAAAATTAAAAAAAAAAAAAAGAATCCGATTGTTGATTTTGGCTCAGGTCATGATCTCAGGGTTTGCGAGTTCAAGCCCTGCATAGGGCTCTGGGTTGACGGCACAGAACCTGCTTGGCTTCTGTCTCACTCTCTCTCTATCCCTTCCCCTACTTGCTCTTTTGCTTTCTCTCAAAATACTTAAGTATTTTAAAGTTCATTTTCTTTGTATTAATTAAAATAAGAAATTTCCTCTCAATGTATTCCATTCCTCACTGGTGGAATAATTTAAAGCACCTTTTATTTTCCTAGAATTCTACATAAATTAATGCCATAGAGGAGCTAGAATATTTACAAGTTAAAAGCCACAGCCTAAAATAAAATCTGAATTGTTACCTTATTTCTTAATTGAACCATTTTATAATTTTCTCTTATATAATATGATGTTACTGTGACTTTGCCATATGTTTTCAGTTTGTGATTAGTTATATATGAGATTCCTTTGTTTTTTTAGATCAAAGTTCTGATAGGACATGGGTGCGTGTTTTATAGGAAGTATGGTAGGTAATTAGTAAAATTCCTGTATTCAGAAGTAAAGTTTTAAGTATAAATGTAATTTGACTTCAGGAAAAATGAATCATTAGTTTTTCTACTTTCCACAGAGTATCTGAATTTAATCCCAAAGATTTTATAAAGTGATTCTTGGTATATTTTATAATTTTGATGATGTTTATTTATTTAGAAATGAAAGGTTTTGGGGCACTTGGGTGGCTCAGAGAGTTGAACATCTCACTCTTGGTTTCAGCTCAGATCATGATCTCCTTGTTTGTGAGTTCAAGACCTGAGTCCAGTTCTGCACCCATAGTGTGGATCCTGCTTGGGATTTTCTCCCTTTCTGCCCCTTGTCCTCGTTTTTGTTTCTCTCAAAATAAACTTTAAAAGAATTAAGACTTTTTTTTGCTTGATTCTAAAGAATGGATTATAGGGGCACAAGGTGATTCAGTTGGTTAAGCTTTAGACTTTAGCTCAGGTCATGATATCCCAGTTTGTGAATTCAACACCCCATCGGGCTTTGTGCTGACAGCTCACGGCCTGGAGCCTGCTTCAGATTCTGCATCTCCCTCTCTTTTTGCCTCTCCCATGCTTGTGCTTTGTCTCTGTCTCTGTCTGTCTCTGTCTATCTCTCTAAGATAAACATTAAAAAATAAAAATAATGATGTATCCTATCTAGGTGATTTTATTAATGATTATTTAATAAACACAAAAAATAAAGAATGGATTATACCCTTAAATTCTGTGTGATAGGAGGGACCTATTAACGTAATACATTTCTAATGTCTTAAGTGCTTAATTCATAAAAGTTTTCATTAGAGCTTTCCATGATTGATTTTAATGAATATTCTATACTATTTACTGCCCGTGAAGACCTACCAATAATTCAAAATGTTCCTTTTTCATGGGTACACAGTTGAAAATTATAGCTACATAGAGCTGCCTGGGCTCAGGTCATGATCTCACGGTTCATGAATCAGACCCCTGCATCGAGCTCTGTCCTGATAGTGTGGAGCCTGCTTGGGATCCTTTCTTTCTCCATGTCTCTCTGTTCCTCCTGTCTTTGCTTTCTCTTCTCAAAGAAGCCTAAAATAAATAAGCTTATATATATTTTAAACTTTAAGTAATTTCATTTTTTTATGTAGTTTTTCGAGTTATATTTTACCTTACTCTGTTTTTGCAATTCTATAATAATGTGCTCCTTTTGTATAAAACTTTCCATGGCATTATTCAATTGTGATTTTGTTTTTACCTGTGTATTTTGTCTTAGGGTGACATTTTTCAACCCATTACATTTTTGGACAATGTGAGTCTAACTCAAATATGAATCAGGTTTATGCCCTTTGCCAATTAAAGTATCTATTTGTCTGTAGCAATATTACTCAAGCATACTCTGTGACTCAAGTATGCATTTCTTTCCTTGATTATTGGTAAGCGAATGTTGTATCCTGTCTAGGTGAGTTATCATAATAGAATTTATTTCTTCATGTATTTATTGGTGAATGTATTATCTGTATGTACATTCATTCTGGTTACCTTAAAGATTACTTAAAACGTCTTAAAGGTATTACAAAGCATTATACATGCTGCTAGTGCAGAGCTCAACACCAGGCTTGAACTCCCAGACTGTGAGACCATGCCCTAAGCTGAAATCAGGAGTTGGACACTTAACCTAATGAGCTACCTTCATGCCTCTAACAATTTTAAGCTGATGTTCTCAATTTTATATAAAACTCTTCTACTTATCATCTCCACATCTGTACCCACTTTATATTGATGATATCACAAATTCTGTTTTTATATTGCATATATTACCTAGATTTTATTTTTTTTATTTAAGAAAAAGTCTATAGCAGAAATAAATGTGACTTGTCCTACCTTGTTACAACACTATAAGTTTCTGTAATTGTGTAAATATTAATACTGATCAGAGAGCTTTATGATGTCATGTAGTTTCTTTCAGTTATTCTCAAGAATTCTTTTATTTCAACTAGAAGGACTTTTTTTTTTTTTTTTAATGTGTATTCATTTCTTGAGAGAGACAGAATCTGAAGCAGGCTCCAGGCCCTAAGCCATCAGGCACAGATCCCGACGCAGGGCTCAAACTCACAAATTGTGAGAGTATGACTTGAGCAGAAGTTGGACGCTTAATCAACCGAGCTACCCAAGTGCCCATAGAAGGACTTTCCATAACATTTCTTGTACGGCAGATCTGCTGGTAAACTTAGATATTTACTTGGCAAAGTCTTCATTTCTATATTAGTGGAAAAGAGTTATGCCAAGTAGGGTATTCTTGGTGGATATTTTTTGATCTTTCAGTATGTGAATACATTGTTCCATACTTTCTGTTCTTTAAGGTCTGCAGAGAATCCCACTAATAATCTTATAGGAGCTCTCTTGTACAAGATATCTGATTTTGTCATGCTTTTTAAAAATTTCTTAATGTTTTTTATTTATTTTTGAGAGGGGGGGGCAGTGTGAGCAGGGGAGGGTCAGAGAGAGAGGGAGACACAGAATCTGAAATAGGCTCCAGGCTCTGAACGAGCTGTCAGCACAGAGCCGGATGCGGAGCTCCAACCTACGAACCATGAGATCATGACCTGAGCTGAAGTCAGATGCTTAACCGACTGGATACCCAGGTGCCCCTGTCATGTTTTTTCAAAATTCTCTTGTCACTGGTGAGTTTTGATAAGTTAATTACAATGCGTCACTGGGTTCATGTCTTGTTTCTCTTCTTCAATTTTTATTTAAATTCTAATTAGTTACCTTAGAGTGCGATATTGGTTTCAGTATAATTCAGTGGCTCATCATTTACATATAACATGCGGTGCTTATCATAAGTGCTTTCCTTAATACTGGTCACCCAACCAACCTCTCTCTCCCTCCATTGATACTTATTCTACTGTGAATTTACCGAGTTTGTTAATTTGTCTCTTCTTTCCACACACATGCGAACTACAAGCCTTTAGTTCTTCATGGAAACTCTCTGCCCCCTTTTACCCTCCTCTTCTTATGGGGTCCCCTTAATGTACACATTGGTCCATTTGTAGGTGTCCCATGTGTCCCTAGAACTAGACATTTTCCACATTTTTCTGTGGTTCTCTTAGATAATTTAAAACAGTCTTTAGAAGTGGCCGTCTTGGTGCAGTGGGCAGCGGGTCAGTCTCATAAAACAGTCTTTAGATTCTCTGATACTTTCTTCTGCTTGATCTAGTCTGTTGCTGACTCCTTAGTGTATTTTTAAATTCAGTGATTCTACA